TCCCACATGGGAGAGAGGGATTTGGGATGAGTGAAAACTGAAGAGGGTTGGAGGATGAGGAAGGGAGGATGGAAGTAATTGGACCAGGGGAGGCTACATTCAGACAAACACATTGCATTCCACATGAACACACATTTAAATGCAAATACAAACACACGTTAATGCATTCTCATATTCCACCCACAAAAGAGTGTTTCCACACACACATTTCCACAGTGACATTTTTGCTGATACGGTTACTAACACACACACAGAGCGAACGAGACATGTTCTATAAGTGGACAAGGTAAATTAGAGAGGTAATTACTTTTTGTGCTGTCAGAGCTGAGAAAGGTTGAGAGATGCTGTATAAGACAGCTGTGGCTCACTGCTGAATAGAGAATGAGACTTAGACAGACAGATGGACAAGCTGATGGACAGGCCAGGTCAGAGTTGATAGGAATAAAATACTATCCAAATCACATTGGTTAAATGTTATAGGCGGTTGTTTTACAGACTCAAGAGTAATTAACATTTTAAATCTCACTTTTGAAAAATTAAAGTACACATATATGACACTATACTTTTTTGTTATGGTATTAAACCTCTGAGAATGTTTCTAATACAACAGCTGAGGGAATGATGGTCTATTTTTCTTTCTCTCTTCTGACTCCTAGTTAGTTTCTTAGCTTGTTTTCGCCACAGAATACAAAAAAAGTAATTGTAACTTTATCTCAAAATTCTGATATATATTATATATTTATCAGAATTATATAATCATGAAAATATACTGAATATTTTCATGATTTGTAATCACAACATTTTTTCTTTTGTCAAATCAACTTCAGATAACTTAAAATTGTGAGTTTCTGGTGATTTAAATTAATCTCCTTCATTGTATTAACTCAATTTTTCCATTTTAATGAAATTAAAATTTTAAGGCTACCAGGTTACTTACTTTTTTAAGTTAAACTAACAATATTTTGTGAGTTAGAAAGTCATAATTGCATGTTATAAACTGCAGTTCTGAGTCTTTTTTCCCCACTGGATTGGGACAATTGGACATTATAACTCGAAGTTCTGGGAAAAGAAGTCAGAATTGTGAGATAAGGTTTTGATAAGTAATTTCAAATCAATTCACATTTATTTGTATGGCGCTTTTCATAATGCATATTGTTTCAAAGCAGCTTTACAATAAAAATGCATGTCTGCATTACAATTTGGAGTGATCTGTTTCCAAGTTATTTCAGAAGTGTACATATACAAATCACACAGTTAGCTAATCATTTCACAATAATAATTTCATTTCATAATAAAAATATACATTACACATTTATTTTTGTTATTTTATGTAATGTTTGTTATTAAAAATAAAGATGAGAGGCAAATTACGAACAACAAAACTATGCAGGAACGGTATAAATGTAACAACTAGTGCTTTAAATTTTCAGGTAGAGTATGTCTATTTAACATACTGTAATTTGTATTTGCATGTAAGAAATCAATCATTTGTAAAACTAAAACATTGCATTCTGTTCTCTGTATGAATTAAATATACACGGATTATTATGAAAGCTACAAAATTTATTCCGTCAAGTTAGTAATTGATTCTCTTTTTGTTTTGCTCTATCCTCTGCGCTTCCTTGTTCATCAATACATCATCCGTCGGGTCAGGGGTCACTCTTCTGCCAGAACTCGACTTGTGTATGGCAAGTCGAGTAGTTTATAACTTTATAGTTTATAAAGTTATAAATCTGGATATTTTTATTCACTTCAAAAGGCCTTTAGTAACCCCCTGGAGTGGTATGGATTACTTTTATAATGGATGGATGAGCTTTTTTTGAGCTTCAAAATCTAAGTTACTATTCACTTCCATTATAAAGCTTGGAAAAGCCAGGATATGTTTCACTATAACTCCGATTGTGTTTGGCTGAAAGACGAAAGTCATATACACCTGGCTTGAGGGTGAGTAAATTATGTGATTTTTGGATGAACATTATGAGTACATTATGTTCTAATATGTACTTATATGCTGGTACATATTGGCACGTTGGGTGTGTTCACACTTGGCAAGTTTGGTTGTATTAAAACCAACTCTGGTGTCATTGATCTGTTAGTGGGGTTCATTTGAATACTGTAAGTGTGAACGCTGCCATCCGAAACTTTTCAGGGGGTCTCGATCCATTTCCAAATGAACTTTGTTGATGTTCGCCTGAAATATGAATGGACCAAACATGGACCAAAGACATCTAAACAAACCAAAGACAAGACATGATGTTGCAAGATGCAACCTTAAAAAGCAGGGAATGCTCAAGGATACCTGGTTCCTCTCATCATTGAAGCTACATTGCCCATTATATCTTTTTGCAGCAGATCTTCATTTGTGCGAAATGGAGGAATTCTTGCCAGTGTTTTGACACCTTTACACCATTCAGACATTTTAATGGATGCAGCATTTTTGAGAACAGGGGATTTAGTATTTCATATTTTAATGGCATTTAAACACTTGCATCATGAGGCATTTTTGTGCTGGATATAGTGCTTCTGGTAGTTGATTGATGTTGATCAGGAGTTTGAAAACCATCTTGAACTACATCAGATATACAGTATTCATGTGGGGGGAATAAAGATGATTTCTGTCATGCTGATGCCGAGACGTCTTACCCTCCTGAAGCATTTAATGCCTTATCAGTTCATCGCTTGTACCCACACTGGCTATAAATGCATGGCTTTGAGTCAGAGTTTTCAAAGCCTTGTTCATCTGATGCTGCACATTTGAAAAAAAAAAAGATCTGATAGAGTTGAATGTAAGGTTCAATATATAAAGCAGTTTCAGATCAGAAAAAAAACATAACTTAGTCCCTTCATCTCAGTCTTTCAGGGGTGAACTGGGGTAAAATGTGTAAAACTTGCATTAACTACACCTGTTGGTTCTCTAGTAGGATGGTGATTCTCAACTCATTTGGCCATGGGACCCACTATTTCCCATGGTTATTAAGCCGCAACCCCTTTTTTAGGCATTAAGGAGCTGAGAAGCTCTTTTTCTGGCAGATTGATACATCCAAAGATTTAGAAGATCTTTTCTTCCGGCGGCTGTGAGACTTTATAATTAGTACTGTTAAGCATTATACAGAAACTTCTACGCTATAAATCAATGCACAATGTCACTTTGCATCATTAAATGGGATCTTGTTTTTGTTTTTATCTGTTTTAAGCTTAAGGAAAAGCATGTCATGCATATACTTATCTTAATGTAACTTATTATTCTACTCTATTCTATACTATCCACTTTCTGCTGTAATGTTGAAATTTCTCACTTGTGAGACATATAAAGGCTGATCTAATTTAATCTAATCTAATTTGAACCAAGTAAATGTATTTCGCTAAAATGATTAACACACAGCTGTCCCACTTTACTTAACATTCACATAAGTATTTCACTAACACCATAAGGATATTAAATAGCAGTCCAAAAATAGTAAGTAATTTGGCACAATCCACCACAGTTATCCAGAAATATAGAATTTGTGGTGTTTTGGGGTAAGAAACTACAGATCTCATGGTAAATAAACAATATTAATATGACAGTGTACCATATATATATATATACTTTTTTTTCTGTCCAGGGGATTTATCATGGATCAGTAATGGTGACGCACAGTTGTTCTATGGCAGAAGCCGATGCTAATACAGTGAGTGAATACTGGGCCTGTGCCAGGACTGAAATGGTCCAGGTGAGGACATCAGGAGAGGACACCGCACTGTGTGTGAGTATGTGTGGGTGTGTGTGAAATCGTTCAGACAATAACACTACGAATCTTTGCTTCAAGGACACTGGACAGTGGTTTTAGGAACTAACTCCTTAACACTGCTGTAGACTTTCTATTTTACTCTTTTATTCTGCTCATATCGTTTTTTTTTCATTTTCTCCTTTTGTTTTTCTTATAATAATCACATCTGTGGACTGGAGTTTTGTTGTCTTGTGTATATGTCTCCAGCCACACTTCAAAATTCTCTTCAGGGATGTCCTCAAAGGGAAACATTAAGTGAAATTAAAGTTGGTCAGTATTAAAAAAAAAGAATTCTAAAACTGCACATGAAAATTAGGCTTAGCATATTGTCATTACTATGCTGCAAAGGGTGTCTCAAGAGAAGCCAGGTTATCCTGGTAAATGTTGATATGAAAAATCAGGTACATTTAGCAATATAGCAGGTGAATTATGTATATGATGTATATTACGATGTTATGATGAACTACATGCCTTTCTCCAATGACGTTCTAATTAGTTCAAAGCGTTTCTAAGGATGCTGAGTTCTAGAAGGAAGCTGTCTGACTCTGAGATGGTGAACGGGAACATGGTTTGTGTAACATTAGCAACACACTATTTGCTGTTTGATTACGTAGTCAAGCCAAAGGCTAATCATATCAATTTGATACATCCAACTTTGTACAAAACGCATCACCATTCCGATACATCGACTTGTAGACGAGCTTGTATAATTCACTCTTCTTCTGAATCAGTTTCTGGTTCGAATATACAATATAGGGCTGTATTAAACCAATATTTCCACTTATTTTGCAGCGTATACTCCAGTAAAGCTGGTGTGATTGAATTTTGCTGATCAAAGATGAGTTTTAAGGGATCAAATTATTGATGACAGGGGGACTTTAATAAATAGATAAAATTATATTTAGCTTAAAAAAATTGACATTTGATATTATTGTCATGACAGATTTCTTAAGAACTATACTTTTGGGGTACAAAAATAATGACAATCTAATGATAATGAGAATTATAAAAAAAAAACTCCAAAAGCCATGAGATTGGGGTATAAAAATAATTTCTCATTTATTTTGATTTCGTAGTGAAATATGAACATGTTTTAACGAAATGTACCATTATGATCAGATCTAACGGATTTCCAACTGGTGGTGAGTGATACAATACCAAAAAAAATGATCAAATAAAATGTAATTTTGATGCACTCTTAGAAGAAAAGGTTCTATATAGAACCTCAAAAGGTTCTATCAGTGCTACGTGTTTGGAACCCCTAAAAGGTTCTATACACTCTTAAAAAAAGGGTTCCTCTGGGTTCTATATAGAACCCTAGGTTCCATAATTGGCCAATAGAACCTTTTACCAAAAAAAAATGGTTCCATATAGAACCATTTTGGAGTTCCATATATGAAGCGGGGGATGGAACCATTTCTGGTTCTAAATAGAACCATTTCTTCAAAGAGTGTAGTTTCAAGCCAATCATTTATTACAAATGTCTAGGTCGTATTTTCTTTTTTTATTGTGCTCACGTTAGAACCATTTTATTATTTGCATTTAGTACCACAGTAAGAAAAAAATGGTTATTTTAACAACCGTTCACTGAAACTTCTTTGGGGGCCAAAAAACAGAATTCTTCTATGGCATCCCTGTAAAAAAACAACAACTTTTGGAACTTTATTTTATTTAAGATTTCACAACAGAACAGACTTCTGACCCACCATTTGAGCGTTACTGGTCTATGGTCTGTCCTCATACAGATAGCTGGCTAAATTTGTGCGTTTCTGTGACTGGATGTGTGTGTTGACAACTTTTCAGTCAGCTGTTTAAACTTCTTCAATCTTCAATCTTCATTTCTCTCCCTCGCTCAGTCTTTCTCTGTCCCTCTCACTAACAAAAGCAAAACTAAGAGTTCCCTTACTCATTTATTACGCACTTCTTTGTTTTCTTATTGTCCCGTCGCCTCCGCATCAGTTTCTACAGCCGCGCACATTCTTTTCTCCTCCTTCCGGAGCACTTACGCCAATTTCTGGCTTGACATAATCTGAAATGGTGCTTAAGTGAATTTATGTTGTGCTCAGTGCATTAACTTCTGCCGTTTTTGCCTTTATGTTACGGAGAGCTTTTGTGCAAGCGCACGGAGGAAACGAGAATTTGAAACCCAGACCACGGACTAGACAGCCTATCAGTATTCAGCAGAGAAAGTGAGTGATGGAGAGAGAGAAACGGAGGAAAGAAAAGAGGAGGGGGTGATGTATCAATATTCTGAGTAGTGTGTGTGAGGGCAAGAAGAACGAACCGGGAAGGGGTGGGGGAGAGGGGCGCGGGTGCGCGAAACAGTTCGAGCAGGTTTATTCGCTTAGTGTTTGTTAGTGCGAGCCCGTTGGGGCGAGATGATATCGGTAGAGCAGTTACCTTGAGGACGGGAACTCAAGTGTGTGTTTGTCTGAGAGAAGTGGCGTTCAAGTCGAATGTGACGGAATCTTAGCCGAGCGCTAGCCATAACTCCACTCTCCCTCTCTCTCTTTTTACTCTGTGTGCTAATCAGCATTTGAAAGGCAGCTTTGACAGTGAGAAAGAAAAGTGAGGGCAGTGGGGAGGAGGGAGTGTAAACGAGAAAGGAACGAGAGAGAGAGAGAAGTAGGGGCCGTACAAGCATTTCTTTTATATTTACCAGCGATTGAGGAGAGAGAGAGAGAGGGGGAGCGATAGAAGAGACGACCGGTGCGTGCAGCTTTCCCAAGAGGAAATGAAAAGAAAAGAAGCTCAACGAGGAAAGAGAGAGAGCCAAAGCGGGGAGCACGCCAGAGAAGGAAACAGACCCGCATCCTCTAACTCCAGTCATATCTGAGACGATCCCGGTCGGAAAGTGAGGGAGGAGAGAGAGAGCGCAAACACACACACACACACAAACACGCTCTTGCGGCAGCAGACCGCTTGTGTTCGCCTGCTCTTTTGTGCCAGCAGCTGGGATTGTTCTTGGCCCCGTGTGACCCCCTTGTCACCCCCCGAGTGAGTGTTTGTATGTGTGTGTGGGAGTGCGAGGGGTCCCGGAACGTGGACTGAGCGAGCGGAGGGGAGGGTCACGGTTCGGACGGGTCCGAGACAACTCAAGAAGAAGAAGAAGAGGAGGAGGAGGGATACATCTGCCCTCGAAACAGCTGCTCAGAGGTGGACATGCACATCAGGTGAGTCACGCAAATGTCAGACTGTCACATGTCCGACAGTTTTAAGATCCGAGCGGAGGGTTTCTCCTCTCTCCTCAAACTTGTTGATGGCTTCATGCAAGGAGGCTTGGCTTCCCTTCCTGGGAAACTTTTTGGGAAAGACACTTTGCTCATGTCTTTTCCCCTTAATGACGGAGGTATTGGGAGCGGAGGGGGGGAACGCTGGGGTTAATTGTGCGGACCACCTTGGCTCCTTCTCAAACATCATCTCTCACTTAATTAGTGGATTTTACAAGATTAGTGCGCTTTGCATTGACGGCGTGTTCTGTGGAAGGTAGTGAATGGTAGCGGCGAGGCGTCTTGTGTTCTGTTATCTGATGTCTTTGGATTTAACAGCTTCTTCTAAATGACTGGATTTGTATTAGAAATGAAAGGGGTGGGTAAATATTAACCTTTTCCTTCATCCGTCAGTTTGGGCTTAGCGTGGGGATTATTAATGAAACGAAATTGCTATTGTAATGTGTTTTAATTCAGTTCTGCTTGTTTTGTTTTTTTAAATGATAGTGCTAAGGGAAAAAAATAGAATTAATAGTGTAACAACAAATGTTATTATAATGATTGTTTTAAAAACGACGATACAAATTTGTCGCAATGCGATTCTCCTTGGATTCTGTTATATATTGCATGTGGATATAATGAATATTACAACAATAATAATGATAAAGTGTATTTTTTTTAAGTAGGTCCACAAATAATTTTTCTTTAAATGTTTATTGTTATTACTCAGTGTACTTACGTAATTGTTTTTTAGCAAGATTCCTTCATGAACAGAAAGTTCATACTGTTAGTTTGTCGACAATCGGAAGGAATACGGACATTTATTACTACGGACAATTATTTGGACACTTTCACACTTACTATGGAAAAACAAAAAGTGGGTGAAAAACTTTCCTGGGACTTTAGTTTTAAGAGGTGGTGGAAGGTTGTTTGCCGTTTCCTTCTCTTCTTTTTGCTTCGGATGAGTGTTTTCGATCAAAAGCTTCATATCTACCTGTTGCTCATTAAATGTATTTGTTTTTGAACACAAGTGGAAATGAGCAGTTGTTGAAGCAGCTTTCCGCCTGTTAAAAAATACGGTAATAGTCAGAGTGATTCAGCCATAGTATATTTTTCATTTAAATAAAACTAGTTTATTGAGATGTTACTACATATCGCAATTTGGTTACCGATTTTTTTGTTTTTTATTATGCTTATCCTGACGAGGATACATTTGTTATAGTTTTGTCTCTGGCTGGACAAATGTTACTTTACAGTGTCCGTATAATTTAACAGTTTGTGTAATAATATTAATCAAAGACACAAAAATGGCCATTTTATTGAAAGTGAACCGCCCTTTTTGTAAAGCATGCTTTATGCGCATATGCGACATTTGGTGCATCTTGGAAATAAGCGTGTATTGAAATTTGATAGAAGTTATGCAGGTATGTACAAGAGAGCTATAGGACCATAAAAGCCGTCACACACAAACACACACACACACTCAGAGCGGGACAGACAGGCCTGGTGACAGACAGTGTCAGGAAGGTGTCAGTGAGAAGATGTTGGTGTCACACTTGGTTGACCTGATCTGTGGTCAGGCTGTCCACTGCAGCCCGTTGTGACTCCTTACATAACCACTTCCTGCCACTCACACCCAGCTCTGCAGGGACGCGCTCGGATATTTATATACTCAACATACAGACACGCACACATCAATATGGCCTTATAAACAGACACACACACACACACACACAAACAAGCAAGAGCCCCTGTCGATATACAGACCCTTCAGTCTTCTGCAGTCAGAGCGATATGATCTTATTCACTGATTTTGACCTTCTGCATCCTTAAAAATTTCTCTTACCATCCATAATCTGTACACAAGCATCACACAAGTGTCAGAGATTGTCTAACGAGAGTCATGTATTGGCGATATTTGAAACTAGAATTTCATAAACACTTTTTGGCTGTTTTTCACCTCAAAATAAATAGGAATAAAATAAAAATAATCAATATAAAATGGTTTAGAAATTACATTACAGTAAACTTCTACATCAAAGTGCCAAGAGTTTTGGGGAAATGTGATTAAGATTAGTTCCCCCACAAAAAAAAGTGTTAACAATAATTACATCAACAATAATTAAAGTACAACAAGTCATGTACACAATTATGCATATTTATATTATATTTGCATTACAGTAACTTGAAATATGATTAATTGCAGTTAAAATATTGCATCGATTCAATAATTATATTTTATAAATAAAGAGAATATAATTTCTTTGTTCTTTTAATTTCAGGATTAGATTAGAACCCAGACAAGGTTTTATGCGATTCACACTCATATCCGGCAGTTGTCCGTGTCGATAAAAACAAGAAACATGCATAGACTATATAAATTTTATATACATATCATTAAATATATCCTGCATAGTGCAAAATCCTCTAATTCTTTCTAGTGTGCAAATGGTGTTATACTTTGCCAATGAAATGGGATGTTTTAATGCTCTGATGTGGCTGCAAATAGACTCTAGACTTCTCTCTGACATTCTCTCTGTGGATATTTGACCCTGTGTGTTTTCAGGACCTGTTCCCTGCCTGAGGGGTGAATAATGCTGTGTGTTTCAGATATACATTGTGTATTTTTTTTTTAGCAGTATGCATGCATCCCCCCCCCCCCAAATCTAGATTATTTAGTCAGGTTCTTATTGAAATCTCTTGACATATGCTGTCATATCTGAACTTGAGACACAGTTATTGTGTAGAAACTCTGGAAGAGACACGTGATGAGTCTTTTGTCACTGTTGAATGATTGCTTAGTTGGTCCTTGAGAAAAGCAGAACCATTATTGATGTTTTTCTCTCAATCTTAATCCCTTACAGCCACTATTTTTCCATTTAAAAAACGAAACGCAACATTTCTCTTCATGCGAGATGCAAGATCTCAGGGGCCATTACAGTATCCCTTACGCTTTCCGTTTTACCGTTGCAGGTCAGAGGCGGGTAGGGTCAGTTTGATCTAATCAAATGGGGTATTGATTCCATTTGATAATTAATGGGCTAGGTGAAGATGAAGATGCAGCCTCCAGCTCTGAGGATTTGAGAAGAACCTTGGACTGGGAGTGATGGGAAGCCGCCAAGGTCAGCGGCAAACCACAAAAGTGCAGAGCAAGAGAGGTCCAGTTAAATGAGATAGGGAGAGAGAAACGCTGTTGACCAGAGCTGATTTATCAGCGTTCGAAGAAAATGAGACAACATCAGACTTCCTAATGCTGGACTTCAAATGCAGAGAGATGTGAAGAGAAATTAGTATTCTGCTGAAACAGCTCCATATATTGATGGAAAACTACATGCAGTATAGATGTTGCAGTATAGACAGCACTTCAAAGATGTTGTGTTAATAATTCTAAAAGCAAATATAATTGCTTGTTACATGCTACAACATCATTTTTGCAGTTATCCCCATTAAACGGTCATTTGAAATGCTCTTTATAGGTCCATCAAAGACAGGGAGGAGGTAAATTATGAACATTTTCTTTTATGCTTGACTCGATCTTTTAAAGTCGACGTTGGTTCTCAGATGTATTTTAGTGACACATGGCTGACGTTGTCTTTGCGATTTTCTCAACCCTTCCAGAAATAAAGTGTTCTGGCAAACGTCTGGTGAAGATTGCTGCAAATTTGCCACTGATCAATGCCAAGTTCGCCGGAAAATAATAAGTTTTTACTAAAGCACAAAATGAACCTTTAGAATTGCATTGAAAACCCACACATTGAACTATTTAAAGGAGTGAAATTGGATGTTTGGGTAACATGGTGCAGTCAACATTAAGTAAATGAAATACAGAAGGTATTTCATATAGCTTTTCTAGAATAAAATGCATCCTAGGTGCACTCAAAGGACAGGAAGACGGCATATGAGCAAAAACAACATTAGAAAACAATTGAAAGTGAATATTATAAGTTTAAAAACAACAATATAAAATGATTACTTTAGTCTCTGAACGAAAAAGTATGTAGTAACTCCTGCTATGAAATGGCTACTGCGTTTATCAGACGTTTTTGACCAGGAAAGCTAGATGAACATATTGTAAATGTAATTTCAATAATTGCAACTTTAAACGACTACATAACTAAAGTAAAAATGACTGAAATGTACTTTTCTCATCACCTTTAAATCGTTACAACCTGTGTCACTTTCTTTCCACTGAGAAACATAAAAGCAGAAATGTTGAACATTTTGTGAATTGTTTTCCATGCATTTACAATAAAATTAGATGTTTGAAATGGATAGAAGTTTTCCAACTTTGAAAAAAGACGCAAAAGTCTTTGACAAATGATTCTCGCATGAAAGCTGTCATATGGCTTGAGAAGACTTTTTTGACTTTTCACAAGTTGTCTGGATTTATTATTATATTTTTTTGAAGCATGAAAGCTTCAGTCACCATTCATCGTAATTGCATGGAAAAGAACGACCAGTCCATTATTCGTAATTTCTCCTTTTGTGTTCAGCAGTAGAAAAGTAATTCGTTTGGAATGACCGAACTGTCAGTATTGGGTAGTGCTAGTAGTTTGAATTTTAACGTCAATTGTCAATCCCTTGGTGTCCGATTAAAGTCTGGAAATCTGTGTGACGTGACCGGCCCCACCACAGCTGTTTGCTGTTTAGATTTATTAAGAGAAAAAGAGGGAAAGGAAACCGGTGCCAGGAAAGTGAGAGAGAAAGTGCCCGATGGCCACATACAGGAATTGTTTTCTTCTTCTGTCAAAGGCATTCAAAGGTCAAAGCCACCAGAGTCACCCTGCATTACAAAAAATGAATAATCCACAATGTTCCAGAGGTCCTTCACGCATCCTCATACCACTGCATGTGACATTTAAAGCGGAATGGCAGTGTTATATCTGGCCTGCAAATGTGGGACCAATAAATGTTGTGCGAGAGAAAAGAGAGGGAGTTTGTGTGTGCATGAAAGAGAGTTGGTAATAGACGTGGTGTATTGTCTCCGTGCAGATTGGCTTAAATGTGCTCATTTTCCCCATTTGGCAGCTCCATAGGGAGGGGCGGAGTGCACTAACGAACCTCTGACAGCTGGAGGCCCTAATTAACGATCCCCTCTGAAAACAAACAGCCACAGGCTCCGCCAAACACACACCCAGGCCTGAGCCAAATCCCACCGCATACAAGCATACATGCAGTTAGGATCCACATCATTGTTGCTATTGGAACAACATTAGTATTCCAAAATGAAAATTCTGTCATTTAACTCATCCGTCATGTCTTTCCAAAACATTGTTATGGTTAATTAAGAACTATTTTCTAAACATCTGTGATTTATATAAAGTTGAGATAAAATAAAATATTAGATAAATGAAAAACTTGTTGGCTGAATAATCGATTTCTTAGTATTAAAATTACTAAAACAAAAAAACAAAAATAAATAAAAGCTAAATAGAAATTTTCAGAAACTTCAAACAAAGTTAAATCAACCCCAAATCACAATCGCAATCCATTTAAAAAAAAAAAAAACCTTCTTTTGTAAGTCATACAGGTTTGAATGAAAGGTTGCTTTCACCACAGAATAAAACAATTAAAAGGTAATTGCGACATTTTACTTTTTCTCTTACAATTGCGAGGTATAAAGTCAGAATTGCGAGTTATAAAGTCCGAATTGCGAGATATAAACTCACAATTGCGAGTTATAAAGTCAAAATTGCGAGATATAAACTCACAATTGCGAGTTATAAAGTCAAAATTGCGAGATATAAACTCACAATTGCGAGTTATAAAGTCAGAATTGCGAGATATAAACTCACAATTGTGAGTTATAAAGTCAGAATTGCGAGTTATAAAGTCAGAATTGCGAGATATAAACTCACAATTGCGAGTTATAAAGTCAAAATTGCGAGATTTGAAACTCACAATTGTGAGATATAAACTCAAAATTGCGAGTTATAAAGTCAGAATTGCGACATATAAACTCAGAATTACGAGTTATAAAGTCAGAATTGCGAGATATAAAGTCAGAATTGCGAGATTTAAAACTCACAATTGCGAGATATAAACTCAAAATTACGAGTTATAAAGTCAGAATTGCGAGATATAAAGTCAGAATTGCGAGATATAAAGTCAGAATTGCGAGATATAAACTCACAATTGCGAGATATAAACTCAAAATTGCAAGTTATAAAGTCAGAATTGCGACATATAAACTCACAATTACGAGTTATAAAGTCAGAATTGCGAGATATAAAGTCAGAATTGCGAGATATAAACTCACAATTGCGAGATATAAACTCAAAATTACGAGTTATAAAGTCAGAATTGCGAGATATAAAGTCAGAATTGCGAGATATAAAGTCAGAATTGCGAGATATAAACTCACAATTGCGAGATATAAACTCAAAATTGCAAGTTATAAAGTCAGAATTGCGACATATAAACTCACAATTACGAGTTATAAAGTCAGAATTGCGAGATATAAAGTCAGAATTGCGAGATATAAACTCACAATTGCGAGATATAAACTCAAAATTACGAGTTATAAAGTCAGAATTGCGAGATATAAAGTCAGAATTGCGAGATTTAAAACTCACAATTGCGAGATATAAACTCACAATTGCGAGATATAAACTCACAATTGCGAGATATAAACTCACAATTGCAAGATATAAACTCACAATTTCGAGATATAAACTCACAATTGCGAGATATAACTCACAACTTCGAGATATAAACTCACAATTATGAGATATAAACTCACAATTTTGAGTTATAAAGTTAGAATTGTGAGCTATAAAGTCACAATTTTGAGAAAAAAAGTCAGAATTGCGAGATAAAATATTGCGATCACCTTTTATATTTTTTATTTTGTGAGGCGGAAACAAGCTTCCATAGGTTTGTAACGGCATACATAGCATTCTTCGTATACGTATATATTACTTATACAGTTCATGCATTCCCAGAAAAGCAAAGCGATGACCTTGGTGTTGCTATCATTGTTAAAACCATGCTGAACTGTTTTAGACCAGCTTTCAAGGCACAATAGCAATCTTGGCAATGAACAGCGAATGTCTCTCGTTCTCAGTCTAGTAGATGTGATGCTCTTTACTTTATAGTTGACTTTCAGAGCAGAACGTGACCTTCTCTGATGCCATTGTACGTTTGCGAAGGGCATGAATGCCAGCACACCTCACATCAAGGTTACGGAGTTAATTGAACAATTACGGTGGACAGGACCTCCATTATGTGTGTAGAGATAGTGAGGATGCTGAGCGAGATCCCGCTCGCGATTAGATGAAGCATGATAGGCTAAAGACCAGCAATCACTATGTGTGTGTGGTACAGTTGCTAATGCTAATTGCACTCTTTCACTTGTAAACATGTTTTGTTTGTCCATGTGTGCTTCTGATCTCTTATATGTGGCAAATTTTGAGCAAATTATGTATCACCATTTATACATTTATACGCCATTTTGAGTTCACATGCTTCATTTAGGTTAGGTATCAAATGTTTCTTAAGAACTATGAATAAATGTGGAATATGGTCGGGTCAGATTGGTGAGAAATGCTTGAGTTTGAGTTTGGTATCTTGCAAATCTGAACACATTTCCAGACCTTGTTGTGATCTTATCTGAAACATTACACTGTAATAAATTATTTTTTAAAGGTGGTGAATAAAACATGATTGGAAAATGTTTTACAAGAAAATACTATTTTAGTATTTTTGCTTAAACCTTTTATGTTTAATTTGAGGTTGCTTTCCCTTTCTTTGTAATTGTTTATTACATTTATTTGGACTTTTTGAGTGATAATTCATTTTTTCACTCTAGGATTTTTTTTTAGTAAATTTCCCAAATAATTACAAAAAGCAAGTAACACAGTGAAATTTTAAAGTAGAAAAACTGAAATAATGTGTTCTTAAACTTTGAAAATATTTCAAAGTACACCTATTTTTTTCTGTGTAGATATAAATTGGGAAGCGGGAGAGAAAAGTCTTGCAAAAGTCTTCATTTGCTCTCCATTATATCTCATTTAATCAATTTAGACATTGAAAAGATGTCATGTGATTTTTCTTTCCTATGGGCAACAGAACATGGTCAAAGTGATGTATGATGGCTTTTAGCATATTAAAGCACATCTCATACAGTCTCGCCAGCGCATGACTAAGCTGTTGTGAGCCATGATGATGTTGCTTGTTCCTGTCATGGGATCACCTGAAATTAACGGCGCTTTACAAGTTCGTGTCATGTCAGATGTGGCATCGACCCATATGATGAATCTGCTGATGTTGTGTGAGTGTGTGTACCGTGCCAGGTCAGGTCAGAGGGTAAGTGTAGGGCTGTGGCATGTAGCCAGTATGACTGTGTTGTGATTTACTCAGAGCTGGCCAGCGGGCATCTCACGCCTGTGGGTATGGCATCATGCTGCTGGAGGGCAAGCTGGCCCTTTAAATGTCATAGAGATGGGGCCAGGACAAGCACTGCGGCCAAACAGCCCTGGAAACTCACGGAATTGTGTGTGTGTATATGTGTTTGTTAATTGGGTTTTGCTGTACGGCCATGTTGGATTTAAAGAGAGACAGTTGTTGTTACTCTACTTTTTGGAACATTATTAACATTGTATATCCAACCTAACCCGGATATATACAGTACAGCTAACTGACGTTAAGCGGTATGTGTATATATATATATATATATATATATATATATATATAATATTATATTATATATATATAATATAATATTTTATATATATATATATGAAGAGTTCAGATGCAAAAGCCTCTAAGTGCCATTTAAAATTTTTCAAGCTTGTATAATTAAGTTCAGTGATTTCACTTAAATGGCAATGGTAATTACCTATTAATTGTTATTTAAGTGAAATTACTGAACTTAAATATGCAAGTTTGATAAAAATCATCATTAAAGAAGAAAATTTCAAATGGCATTTAGAGGCTTTTGCATCTGAACTCTTCATATATATATATATAGCATATCTCAACTGCCTGAATGCTTTTATTGTTGTAAAATGTAAATTATATTATCTCCCAGCTCTAATCTGCTAAAATGCAACTAAGGCATATATATATATATATATATATATATATATATATATATATATATATATATATATATATATATAAATGTCTCTCTCTTGTGACTGTATTCATATATTTGGTGTTATTTGATAAACCATTGCAAATACACAAATCTCAGTGGCTGATTAAAAACCCTTCCTTTATTCTGCATAACAAGTTGGGGGTCAGAAACGGAAAGTTCGACAGAGCTTTGTTTACCGAAGAAACACACCATCTACTGCCTGAGAGTAATTTTGCATTTTGAATCAGCACGTTTTAAAAAAAATGTAGAAAATACGCATTGGTTACGAACTGACAAATCACATGCAAAAAATCAAACCAAATTTTCCATTAAGAACATACATGTTTGTGTGAAGAGGTCTCAGTCTTGAGTAACTGACAATATTGTGTTTAAAATATAAGTTAATTAATAATAAAAACGTCTGAAGCTTATTTCGAAATTACCCTCTTGCATGAGATTTTGCGTAATTATGCTCTGTATTCATTATAATAATAGTAAACAGTGTTTTTTTCAATCAAGTTAGCATCATTATAGTTTATTTCAATACTTATTTGACTGTTCTTTTGTCTTTCAGCTCTTCTGTTGGGGGTCTCGGACTGACATAGCCTCGGCCAATCATAGCCTGAGTTAGAGGTGGCGGCCCATAGGGGGCGTGATGGCGGCCATGCCGTTCGTCAGCGAGGGGAAGTGTGTGAGTGTGGAGTGGGATTTCTTACAGGGACTACTCGCCAAACCACCCACCTTACCCTGGTGAGGATAAACAAGCACACACACACACTCACACACCTCGATGAAGAATTTTCCTGAACACACAGCTAACAATCAATTTCTCTTTCGCCACGGCTCAATGTAAACCCTTGGTTTGGATCTATTAGCATGAGATTAACTAAATTTTAGTAGAATTATTAATGTCCGCTCTGCTGTGGAGGATATAAAACTAAACAGAATCAATGGCTCCGTATTGATTGAACCCTCCAGGGTCGTTTTACTACAACGATGAGATGTTCTAGCTTGGAGAATTTTTACTTGGAACAATACTGTTTATACACCAGTAAATCTCACAGGGCCAAAACACTGATCGACTGACTTAACTTGACGCATACAGTATGGTTATATTCTGTAGACCTGGGGCCTATACCATGAAGCCGGTTTAGGTGGCTAGCCTGATATGTTTCAGTTTAGTTTGCACCAACCCTGGGTTTTAGGCACCATTAAAGGGTTTGTTCACCCAAAAATGAAAATTAAGTCATTAATTACTCACCCCCATGCTGTACCAACCCCGTAAGACCTTCGTTCATCTTCGGAGCTCAAATGAAGATATTTTTTATTAAATTTGAGAGCCGAATCACTACCACATAGGCTCCTAAGGGAATGACTCTTGACGGCCCAGAAAGTCAATGAAGAAAATGTTTAAATATTCCATGTGACTACAGTGGCTCAACTATAAGTTTATCAAGCGACGAGAATACTTTTTGTGCGAAAAAACAAACAAAAATAACGACTTTATTCGACTATTCCTTTTCTTCCTTGTTGGCCTGAAACGAGACTTCAAGAGATTTCAACGACGCATGCGCGAGAATTGCGATCTCCTTCAACTACTTCAGTTCAGTTCTCGCGCATGCGTCGTGGAAATCTCTTGAAGTCTCGTTTCAGGCCAGCAAGGAAGAAAAGGAATAGTCAAATAAAGTCGTTATTTTTGTTTGTTTTTTCGCACAAAAAGTGTTCTCGTCGCTTGATAAACATATAGTTGAGCCACGGTAGTCACATGGACTATTTAAACATTTTCTTCATTGACTTTCTGGGCCGTCAAGTGTCATTGCCTTAGGCACCCTATGTGGTAGTGATTCGGCTCTCAAATTTAATAAAAAAATATGTCTTCATTTGTGTTCCGAAGACGAACGAAGGTCTTACGGGGTTGGTACAGCATGGGGGTGAGTAATTAATGACTTAATTTTCATTTTTGGGTGAACTAACCCTTTTAGCAGTGTTCATCGCCATAGTAACTTACGCTCCATGGCTAACCTGGTCCGGGGCAGGTTATGTTCCAGGTATAAGGTTGCAAACCGAACTTGGACCAATCAGCTGTGAGCAAAGTGACACATGTCTGGTGCGATTCAGTTTTTAAAGACAAAATCGTCCGGCTTTTAGCTTATTTAGAATAATAATTGTGTATGATTTAGATATGATGTAATCATTAAACCCTTAATCGATCACATATACAATTTTTGTGATAATAATTATTATCACGCAGTTTAATTGAAGGTAGTATATATATGCTTTAGAATCAATAGATAAATCTATAAAATGACCACATGTGAGCTTAAATGTCAAATTTTCTCTATCTTTATCAAATGTATAAACTAACTTCACAACTTTTACTTGCACTGATATAGCAAGCCTTTTTTATTTTAGTTGTCCTCTTTCATAGACAGCTATTTTCCCTCTCGCTGTGTAAATTGTTTAAATTTTTTAGATTTTTCAATCTCATAATATTCTGTAGTGAATCGCGCTGCTTAATCTCAGTTTCACTTTTTCTCAGCTTGTGATTGGTTGTTCGCCACTGATGTCACACCTAAACTCAGGATCAAAGAGAAAGTTGATGATCAGCATCATGGTACCAACAAAGCCTGGTTGGATTGGTTTAGTTTTGTCAACTCAAAACTAATCCTGTAACCCTGAGTTTGTTAAACTACCATCATGGTACAGGCCCCAGGAGTTTAAACTTTTCCAATCCTTGAGCTTTTAAAACATGTAAATAAAGTGAACCTAGAGCACGTTTGCGCTCCCAAACGCACATGCAGAGATGGACTTCGCTGCATTTACTGTGCCGGGATGCTCTCAGACGATGAATAAACCAGATCACGTTTATTTGCATGCCGCCCTTCGCTTTGAAACACGCAGCGCATCAGACTATTAAGTTATTTAATTAAATCACAGCCTTTGATTTGATAATCACATAAAGCTCTATCGAGATTAGCGTGCAGCCCCATTATTTAAATTTTACATTGGATATAATTTTATTAGTTTTTATCAACTCTCGACTCAAAGCCTCTGCCGTTCCACATATAGGTCTTAAACTATTGTTAAAAAGCTGAATCAAATAAGTGCTGATTTACACTCTCCTTCCCTTAAAACACAACACAGTCCTGTCTAAACAAATAAAGTAGTGCTTTTTCAATTTGAGGAACTGACTCTTTTGTGTGTGCTTTTTGACAGTTGCCTTTTATTCTGTTGGTTCACACACACACACACATTTTTCCACGCCATCCCTCGCTCCCGTGCTGATGCTGCCCTGCATCTGCAGGGTGAATGAGAATCAATGTCACAGACACAGAAAGAGAGCGAGCGAGGCGCGTTCGGCTCAGTCTTTCAGTGCAGTCACAAATTGTAGAGTCGCCGTGACAACATAATTCCTCCACTCAGGCCCCATTGAGAGCGAGTCGATATCCAATCAGAGCGACAGCTACCTGGGCCTGTCTCCGCGACAGCCCCTCCCTCCATTGATCCCTCAATCAAGACTGGGGCTCACCACCCTGGAGGGAGCCTGGGAAAGAGACGCAGCGACTGGATTTGGGATGGACTTCTGATGTAAGATCAGGCCTCCTACCGGTTACAGTGAACCTGATCGTAGGTCAGTCATCACACTCTGAGGCGCTTGGAAAAAGTGTGGAGTGCAGCAGACAGAATCAGAAAAGATCCAGAGTGACACCTTGTTGATTATTATCGATCTCCTGTGAGGTTTTTGCTGGAAATGACGTCACACGACCTTAATAAAGTTGGCATGAAATGAAAATCTATTTTCTAAATGCATGTTTGTAATCAAAAAGATGTGACTTCTTTATGGGGACATATGCTGGACTTAAACTCCACCCCTTTTGTTACACTCACGCAAGCTCGCATTCAGATCTGCCTTCATCCAATCAACCGATGTCTTTTGGAGAGGATTGTACATGCTAAATCTCTTTTGAAATGATATTTTACATTAATATATATTATTGTTCTTGTTTCTTCTTTCTTAGTCTCCACTTTTGACTATTCACGTGTAAGACTGCTCTTGTGTACCTTCTTTCCATTATGTTATGTGCACACCATGGACACATCTAGACAATCAAATCAATGAATATCAAAACTCTCATACTTATTCTTGTATTTCTAATATGCCATATATGAGTACTTTGAGTACTATGATTAGATGGACTGGACCTGGACTGGATTTTGCTTTATCTTGTCTTTAAATATGACCCTCTCTTCCTTAATGAACTTGAGAATGTTATGGTATTAGCATAGTACAAGGAGATGATGTATGCAGAGCGGTGGAGAAACATCGAGTGTTGTTATTAACAAAAAGGAAATGTTCAAATCACTTAAAATTGGCGCGATAGCTGATTCGAACGAGTGATGTTCGACGGCGGCATCCATCTTTGTAATGTAGGCTACAAAATCTGCTTCAAAATCCCAGCGCTGTCATCATCGTGTAAAGCCCGCCCCAACGTTTCTGATTGGTGCTTTGATTTTGACGGATTGGAAATGGGCTTGAATGAGCTCTTTGCCAGACTAACTTTCAGAGCAAATCTAAATTTGCCGGAAGTTGTCTGGGTTTTCCCAGGCGATATTTGACCCAAATGTGGGTTAAAACAACCCAGCATTTTTTAGAGTGTGATAGCTTTAAATAGTCTACCTAAACTAATCTAACATTGTAATAAATATGCATCACCATATATTGCTTTTATAAAATCTGAGTTTCTTATTTCTGGTTAATGCCAACATACACTTTAAAAATTGCTTGGTTGTTTTAACCCAACTTTGGGTCAAATATGGACAAACCCATCCATTGGGTTACATTTTTTAATTACATTTTTAACCCAACGTTTGGGTTTGTTCATATTTGACCCAAAGTTGGGTTAAAACAACCCAGCATTTTGAGAGTGTAGTATCACACCCTTGATGTTATGCACAATAAAGCATACTGTAGTTAAACAACACTAACTTGCCTTCATCACCCTGTCATTTACTGTCGTCTTTCTCCTTCTCTTCCTCTCTGTACTGTCTTATTTTTCTCCAGCTTGCAGAATTTGAGGAAGGAGAAGTCTCGCAATGCAGCTCGTTCTCGGCGGGGTAAAGAGAACTTCGAGTTCTTTGAGCTGGCGAAGATGCTTCCTCTCCCCGGGGCGATTACCAGCCAGCTGGACAAGGCCTCCATCATCCGCCTCACCATCAGTTACCTGCACATGAGACACTTTGCCAGCCAGGGAGACCCACCCTGGAGCCCTCTAATGGAGGGAGAGAACAACTGCAACAAGGGTAAGCGTGATCATTACACCTAGAGTATTTAAAAGTTTAGATTGGCTGCTTAATATGACAAAGAAATTAGTATGGATGAACAGGTTTGAATTTTTCAATCCTGTTGCTAGAATTTGAGACATATATACCGGTAGGTTGAAATATATGAATTTTTTTTTTTTAATAATTAATTAATATAATGATATATATATATATAAACAACAGTACCAAAGTTAAAACCCAAATTAATCTCAGTATTGGCAGTATTGTTTTTTTCTAGTTGTTAAACTTGTATGATAAAACGTTTAATGCTAACTTACAGTATATTTCACATAAATTACACAAAATATTGCAATATTGGCAATTTTTCAATGTTGCTTCATAAACATAAAAATGTAAATTATAAAATGCCTGTTTATGAAGCGACATTGAAAATTTAATTTAATTAAAATTATGAATTAAATTAAATTTATTTATGTTAAACATAATCTCATAATTTTAATCATGCAAGTTATTTTATAATTATTATTTCTAATTCATTTATGTATTTAATAATTATATATATTTTAATCTATCGGTATTGGCAACTATTTTGGGACCAGTTGTTAGTTTGTGTTTGTTAAAGTTTGTGTGACAATTATTTATTGTCAAAACGTATGTTTTCCTTTTTTATAACATTTGAAACCGCAAGCCTGATTGTCTCAAGATACCCCAGGTACACAAAAAAGATGAGAAATTAAGTGATCCTCACTACATCTCACATATTTTTACATACATTTATATGAGGCTTTCATCGACAACATCGAGCCTGACGGCGATTTGTATTTGAGGTGCCATTAACAGAGGAGATGACTTCGAGTGAACCACAACAAAACTCAATTCGAACATGACAGTGGCGGCCTGTCGATGAATACAAATGCGTTATTAATTTAAATGATGAATTTAAATGGAATAGGCTATTATTGTCTTATAGGTCGCTTGTGTACGTCACTTGGGACACACGCGTCGAAAATTGCCGGAGAAGCAGAGAGAGCGCTTACACATGCACACACAGAACGACACACACACAGAAAAGTAATTGAGATTGCGCCACAAGAGTAATCACTCGCAGTCATGCGGAGTTAAACACGGCTCATCTGAAATAATGCGTTTGCGAGTTCACTGGCAACTCATTGCAGCATACAAACTGTATACGGATTGTAGGAGCAAAATCCACTGTCGAAGGCATCATGGGATGCATATTCCTTTCTTATGTCACTTTTCTGAGAGAGTCTCGCTCTGTCATTTGAGTTTTATTTGAGAGCAGGGTCATTTGGCTTCTCAAATACGCTCAGTCATTCATTACGTCCTCTGATAGGTTCATCTCAATTGTGAAGTGAACAATAGATCTAACAGCCAATTAGCCGCTGCCTGTGTGGAAGCCGGCGGGGATGAACAAAAGAGCCAGAGCCAGAGCTGAAGCTTGTTAACAAGTGGCCAGACCAAGGAAGTCTGTTTCTGAGAGATGGTCCTTTTGTAGCCCGCCTGCGAGCCTCATTATGCCTGCCGCATCAAAGCGATTCGGTCCTGTTAAAATACCTGGGCGAATGTCTCTCTTTTTCTGCTTGCTGTTTTTGTCTGTCGGTCTCTATATTCAGTTTCAAAGCCTAGTGAGAAGCTTTGCTGTCTGCCGTCTACTGTGACTTACGAGGAGCGTGCAACAGTCAATCCTTTAAAAATGTTGTAAACTACCTGCAAAATGTGGTTAATTACACTATTTAAAGGAGTAGTTCACTTTTAACAAAACTTTTGCTGATAATTTACTCACCCCCATGTCATCCAAGATGTCCATGTCTTTCTTTCTTCAGTCGAAAAGAAATTAAGGTTTTTGATGAAAACATTCCAGCATTTTTCTCCATATAATGAACTTCAATGGGAACCAAACGGTTCAAGGTCCAAAAGAAAGTTTCAGTGCAAACTGTTCAAAGGGCTTTAAACGATTCCAGACGATGAATAAGGGTCTTATCAAGCGAAATGATCGCTCTTTTAAAAAAACAAACAAATTTTACGTTTTAAAAGCTCAAATGGTAGCCTTGATCTGTTCTGTGATGCGCGTTCGTGACTCTCCTGTTCGAACTCGTTCATCAAAATGAATTAATCTTTTTCCGAGTCAATTCGTTCGTTGTAATGACTCGAAAAAATATTCGTTCATTTTTAATATTAATATTAACGAGTACACTGCTGTTCATAGGCCAGTAAGATTTTATGCGAAAGAAACTAGCACTTTTATTCAGCAAGGACGTACTAAATAGGTGACAGAAAAGAGATTTGTAATGTTACATAATGTGTATATTTCAAATATTTCATCAGTGTTTTCAACATTGATTATGATCAGAAATTTTTCTTGATGATTTCTGAAGGATCATATGACACTGAGTAATAATGCTGAAAATTGTTTGCTCACAGGAGTGAATTACATTTTTTAAAGTGTATGTAAAACATTCAGCTTTGCCATCTCATAAATAAATTACATTCATGTATGTAGATACAATTTCAGCTTTGCCATCACAGGAATAAATTACTTTTTAAATATATATTTGAATAGAAAACCTTTATTTTAAATGGTAATAATATTTCACAATATTACCATTTTCACTGAATAAATGCAGAAGAGAAATTTTTTTAAATCTTACTGACCCTAAAGTTGTATAAATATAGTAATGAACCGCATAATATATGTAAAAAAAAAAAAAAAAATTTAAAATGTCGAAGGAACTGAATTGTTTATTGTGTTCCAAACCAGGACCAATTCCATGTTGGCCCAGGCTGGTTTATAAAAATGTAGCATTTCACACCAGCACTGTGTTCAATATAGACAGCAACTCATGTGAGCTCAATCCTCACGAGAAATGCACGATGAGTTTACAAGAGGTCCGTGTCCAGCCTTAAAGTGCTGTCTAGATAGGCGGCTCAGTAGATTTTGGAACAGAGCTAATGTCCCTCACACACCCACTCAATCAAATGTATAGTATTACAGGACAGAAAGAAAAAAAAAACACACAAAGGGTAGAATAAATTATCGGTGTGATTTGTAATGACAGAAATTAACTATATAACGAGGAGAGTGTAATTACAAGGGTTGTCTAATTGCTATTATTACTGAAGGGAAACAACTAGGCTACAATTAGGTGTGTGGTTGTGTGTGTATTTGTGTTTGTGTCATAGATAAACATACCTATGAGGAAGTGAACAGGGCCAGACTGATATAGGTGTGTGTGTGGTAGTGTGTAGACTCAAATGCCACCTGAGAGAAACCAAAGTATGTGATACAGACAAGAGTCTCACATCATGATCGTCACACTTGGGAATATCTACTGCAACAGATTGCTGAAGTAAGGCAAACCATCCTTTTATCACAGTTTTATTAGTATAAAGGTTATTATTTGTGAATACCCACCACACATATATATAGTATTTATAATAGCTATATAGCTAACTTATAGCTAACAAAAACTATTGAAAATTAATTGAAATAAACAGAAATAATATATATATATACTGTATATTAGGAAAAAAAATAGAAATGAACTTTGGCAACTAACTGAAGTTAAACTTCTTAAATTACTAAAACTACTATAAAAATAATTTAAAGCTAAATAGAAATAAAAAAAATGACAAAATCACATTAACTTAAATAATTAAATATCTTAATTTTAGTGTGAAGTAGAAAAATGAAAAGTTTTAGAAATCAATCGGCCTATACAATGGATACGTTATGCTCATCTTTTGCTCGCTTTTTTGACAGTATCTTTAGTAAAACGGCTCTATATTTAGCAAAAGACCTGAACCATAATCGATGCAACCCATTTTACAGAATATGGAACATATTGCACATAATAACCCCCATTGATATAGCCTGTCAAGCCAAAGAAAGGCAGGCTTTACTGCTCACACAAACAGTGCATATTCAAGTGCAATGGTTTTAATAGTGAAAGATGTGTTGAAGGATTATATGTTTGTTTCGGAGCATTTTATTCAGTAAACGAGGCCCAGTGTAACGGAGGTTTCACAAAGAAACGTTTGTTGACAGATGAAGCAGTCAGCTCTATTGAATCTGACAGCAGCTGCATCAAAAAAAACATAGTAAATGATTTCATAATGCTCAGTCTGTAGATGGCAGTTTTATATGGATAACGTTTTCAAAACACTTACTCGCATGCAAAAGCTAGCGGCTAGTTTCCTATGCAATGATGTTAGCCAATCATGTCAGTGGCCTTTTACTGACAAGGCTTAAACTGATCAGTTCAGATATGAGGATATCTGTTTCATTTTTAAATTATTTTATTAGCACTATAAGTGAACCTCAAGGTACATATTCAAATAAAAAAAATACATGTCATGTCCCAGCCCTTTGAAAAATATATATTATTTGCCAATAGTTCAAATGAATTACTTAATAAATTCTAGTTACATTTATTCATTTAGCAGACGCTTTTATCCAAAGCGACTTACAAATGAGAACAACAGAAGCAGTAAAACTAACAGTAGGACAACAATATGTAAGTGCTATAACCCCTCTTAGTTTAATTAGTTCTTTTACTGTCCATTTTCTTTCTCTTTACTCCCTTAAAACTCTTTAAACTGTTTAATCATTTAATTCTTTTAGACATGCTTGCAGCTTAGAGTCTTTTAAATAAGCCACAATAATAATAAACTTAATTTACGTAACCATTTGCACTAAAAAGAAAGACTATTTTGTAAATTAAAAATAGCAAATTAGCACACTCTGCTCCTGTTTAAAATGATTTGCGAAGTGATTAGTAGGTACGACACAGGTTTTCACACTGAAATAGCGGCAGCTGTTCAGTGAATGTGTCCTGGTGACGCCGTTTGCCGGGATGAGCTGATCCGCTACGGCCGTGATGCATATCTCAAACTGCAGTGCAGGAATGTGAGTCCGGGTCGGCCTCCTCTCAGGGCGGACGCTGACGGCGGGTGCGAGTGGCGTGAAACGGGGGAGGGGAGGCTGTGCGCGCTGGTGG